GAACCGGGGGTCTGGGTGCATCGGGCAAGTTGCGCGCGGCGGGCAGGGGACAGCATCCGCTCAAAAAAACTGCAGTGCTGAATTACTTCAACCTGTTCAAATTTCCCTTCACTTTCTCCTCCCACTAGTTCCGGTTTCTCTTCCTCGACTGAAATCCGCTGCAGTCTTTCCCCATCGTGACCGTTCTCCCTTCTTACACCCGGGGGTTTATTTTGCCGTGTAAATCCATTCATCCTCCAGTCCTTCAAATGTAAGCAAGCTCTTTTTTCAAGTCTCCTCTTAACATGCCCTGTTAAATCACTAGCAAGACAAAACAGCGCTGCTGAGAGAAACACCCCATTATAAGGTGGTGTAATAAATTCTTCAATGAAGTTCAAATGCCAGCAAATACCTTTTTTTAAGATTTCAATGAGAAAAATAAAAGTGATTGACTTGCTATCGGCTTGGAAGGAGATGATCCTTCTCGAGCACCTGCAGAAGCAGCAAAACTGAAACCAGAGGTTTGCCAAGCGGTTGGCCACCTGCCTTTTAGCCAAGAGCCATCACTTAGGATGCACACAAGGATGTGGCAGCCGTAGGCCTGATTTTCGTCTTTACCGGAGGGGATTTGAACTCGTACCTCTTGTTCTCCCATAACATTATTTTGACAACAAACCTACAGCATCTCAGGAGTAGGAGAGCTTAGATTATCCTGTTGATACTGTTTCAACAGCTTTGTTGAATTTATTAATTAATTTGTACTAAGAATTCACCAGGGCAGGAACCCAGCTGGGTTTGCTCCCAGTTAAGTGTGTAAACTGCCAAACTAGGGAGTCACACCCACTTGTTTGCATGTGACTGCCATACATTTAAGTAGTTTTACAAAGTGGTATAGTTCCACACGGAAAGACTGAGAAACACACACTTCAGCAGGAGAGGCCTGTGCTAATCAAAGATTTAGTCCCACCTTACATAGTGTAATGTCTAGATGTTGATTAACATAGGAAGGAAACAGGTTGGAATGACTCTACAGCTTAACCTTTCCCTATTTCTTTTTTCACCTGTTCTCCAGCATTTTTCCCATGTGTCCTTAATTATGTATGGATGATGGGAGCAACCCCTACAGCTTCACTGTGGGCTGTCCATTCAGAAAGAGAAACCAGAGCTAGGCCTCCATTAATACAGATGAATACTATTGAGAGGAGAACTGCACACAACTGCACTGATGAGCATAACCATAATATTCTTCCTATGCCACCCAAAAATTTGGATTAAGCCCACATCTAATTCCAAACCAAAATAACTGAGGGGGAGGGAACATATTAAAAGTTCTGATTAGCTCTATGACTACCTTCCTCCTCATTCTATTATGTTCCTGTTTCATCTTGTCCCTCTACTTTTAGACTCCTAGGATAATTCAGGTTGAGAGGGACCTCAGGACGTCACCAAATACAACCCTCCGCTCAGTTAGAGCGGGCAGCTGACGGCCTTGTCAAGTTCAGAGTATCTCCTCAAACAGAGATTTCCATGATCTCTCTGGGCACCCTACGCCAATTCTTCGGTTCCTTCCCTGCTTATGCATAAGTTCAATTCTAAAACTGTCCTCACCTCCTTTCCACAGTCGCTTACTCCAGTTTCTTTAAACTTTCAGCTAGAAGAAGACAACAGCAACAGTTCTATGAGAGCAGTAAGAGCCTGGGAACAGGCAGAGAGAAAGTCCAGCAGACTCAGAGAGGTAATTTTTCCTGGCTTTATGGGAAGGGGAGAAGCAATCCTGTTGACATTTCATTTATAATTCGCTAAAACTAATGAGCAGTGTGAAGGAAAAGCAAAATTTTAGCAGCAAGATAGTGAAAGAGAACCGGTGGAGCTGATAAGTTATTTGCAGATGCCTTTTTTCCTCCATGGAACCAAACTCAGGTTCAATGGAAACATTGCACCTTAAGGATGAAATCACTCAGGAAAGTTGTTGCTCTGTAAAACAGTCCAGTTGGTCTCTTTCTTCACTCCCTCAGTATTTTCTGGGTCAGTACAGAATTGTTTCTAGTCACTTTCTGTCATTGCAAGTCCTATCAGGTCTCTGGACAGTGGCAGGTTGTAGGGGAAATTCACTGAGACATGAGAATAGCAGCAAGTTGTTTTTCTACTACCCATATACTAAGCCCTCCTGTGTCTGTGTTACACTCTCTCTGTGACAGAATTTGTGTTCAGACTAGCTGGCCGGCTGCTGCAGCCTTCAGTTAAAAAGTATGGGAATTGTCTGGTAGTTTCTTCTTTCTGCAGCTTTTGTCTTTTTTGAGCATACCTGACCTGCTAGTGTTAAAAGATGCCTCGTCTGAAAAGCCCTGCCACTAACAACAAGAAAAACGCTGATCTGTAGGGAAAAATGCAAAAATGCTCACTTCCAATACGTGACGAAAACTTCTGTATCACAGATGTAGGCCATACCAGAAAAGTCATATTTTGACCATGGTTTTGTTGTCATAGAAATTAGTTTATAGCTTATTTCAACTTCACAACTGTTTCTATTTATAAGTAAACAGGGGATGCAACTGTAACACAGTATCACTTTTCTATACTAATATTTAGGAATTTAGGGAAAAACACAGATCAAAGTGATGTAGGCCTACATCACCTTTCATGTCAAGGGGATGACACTTGTAATATAGAGCCACCCAGATAGATAGCCTTGGAATTGTCAAAAGACATTATCGTGATCAGTTCCTTATAAATGAATATGTGGCTGTAGGCCAGTAATTCAAAATGGTGGAGGTAAGGGGTTATGGATATACAAACTAAGCAATCAACACACTTCTAGTTAGTTCCATTCTTTCAAATGTAGGCACACTGAAGTCTGGTAATTATTTTCTTTTATTATCATTATTAATACCTGGTGCTATTTAGAAATTCCTGTTACTTCAGAATTGTTACTTGTAAGCAAAAATAATCTATGACAGTTGCCTTTGAAAAGAAACCTATCAAGCAGTTCAGTTGGTATGAAGGAATTCCCATAAAGCATTTAAAATTAGTTTCAGAACAGCCTTATGGTTTAATCTCTGATAAAGAAAAAAAGTTCAAGCACTCCACATTCACCACACTACTATCATGATGGTTTCCAAGCTATCAAGCTTTTGGAACGTGTCACAGTTCTCAGCAAAGCTCCTTCTACCGTTGATTCAGGGACATCTCTACCACCTTGAACCACTACGACCACACTTAAACCTCTCCTGAACTATAAGGAAAACAACTTTTTTTTCAAAAGTGCTCTGCACAAATACTGTGGGGAATAGCAGAAAACAGACATTTAGTAGCTAGCTACTACAAAACAGAAAGCAATGCCAACTTTTCTACTGTACTAATCGATAAAAGTGCAACCAGTTCCACACGCATATTAGGCAGTTGAATTTGGAAATTTAATAATTCTCATTTTCTGCCATAAATTTCTCCTGATTGTTTGCAGAAATAGAGCAGCTGGTATACACAGTTTCCAGAGAAGTCAACAGGAACCACACCAATGAAGTTTGGAGCAGAATTTGGCTAACACCATATACCCAGAGAACTTGGACTATTTATTTTGGACACTTCCATGCTATGTTCAGCCTATGAGTTGTTAACATTTAAGACCACAGAATCACAGAACATTTAAGGTCACAGAATGGTTGAAGTGGGAAGGGACCTCTGCAGATCGTCTAGGTCAACCCTCTGCTCAAAGCAGGGTCAGGTACAGCAGGTTGCTTAGAGCTGTGTCCAATTGGGTTTTGGATATCTTCGAGGATGGAGACTCCACAACCTCCTTGGGCAACCTGTTCCAGTGTCTGACCACATTTCACAGTGTTTTCTTACATTCAGATGGAGTTTCATGTAGTTCAGTTTGTGCCCATTGCCTCTTGTCCTGCCATTGAATATCACTGAAAAGACCCTGCATCCAGCTTCTTTACTCCTTCCCATCAGGTATTTGTACACATGGATAAGATCCCTCCGAGCCTTCTCTTCTCCAGACGGAAGAGTCCCAGCTCTCTCAGCCTCACCTTGTACATCAGATACTCCAATCCCTTCATCATCTTCATGGACCTTTGCTGGACTCTCTAGTATGTCCATGTCTCTCTTGTAGTGGGTAGCCCAGAACTGGACATGGCACTCCAGGTATGTCTCACCAGGGCCAAGTAGAGAAGAATCACCTCCCTTGACCTGTTAGCAACACTCTTCCTAATGCTGCCCTGGACACTACTGGCCACAAGGACACAATGCTGCTTGTGTCTGACTTGTTGAACAACAGGACTCCAAGGACTTTTTCTGCCAGGCTGCTTTCCATTCCATCAGACCCCAGTGTCTACTGGTGCACAGAGTTATTCCTCCCCAGGGGCAGGACTTGGCATTTCCCTTTGTGGAATTTCTGTCTGCTCATTTCTTCAGCTGTTGAGGTCATCCTTCAGAGGTGGCAGCGCACCCATCGGGTATATCAGCCACTGACCCCAGTTTTGTATTATCTTCCACAAGCCTCCTGAAAGAACACTCTTATATCATCTAGGTCATAAATGAAGATGTTAAACTTTAGTTACTCCAGTATGGACCCCTGGGGTACATCAGTAGTGACTAGCCTCCAGAAGGACTTCATGCCACTAATCACATCCCAATCACACAGTGCCAGGCTTTCACCTGGCAGTTCAGCCAGTTTTCAGTCCATCTTGTTGTCCACTTATCTAGCCTATACTTCATCAGTTTGTCAATAAGGCTGTCATGGGAGAGCATCAAAAGCCTTGCTAAAGTCAGGATGAATAGCATCCACCACTCTCCCCACCAGTTATCTCATCATAGAAGACTATCAAGTTGGACAGGAATGATTTCCCCTTCATAAATTCATGCTGACTACTCCCAATCACCTTCTTGTCCTTAATACATTTGGAAACATTTCCAGGATTATTTTCTCCATCACATTCCGAGGGATCAAGGCAAGGCTGACCAGCCTGTAGTTCCTCCTTCTTGAAGACAGGAGTGCCATTTGCTCTCTTCCAGTCCTCAGGAACTTCTGATCATCATGGCCTTTCAAAAAAATAATCGAGAACAGTTTTACAATGACATTGGCCAGTGGCCTCAGCACTTGCTGGTGCCTCCCATCAGGTCCCATGGATTTGTGTATGGCCAGTTCATTTAAACATTCCCTAGCCCAATCCTCCTCCACCAAGGGGAGGTCTTCCTTGCTCCAGACTTTCCCTCTGGTTTCAAGGACTTGGGATTCCTGAAGACGAGTCTTGCCACTAAAGACTGAGGCAAAGAAGACATAGAGTATCTTGTCTTTTTCCATGTCCTCTGTCACCGGGTCTCCTGCCCCATTCATCAGCAGGCCCACATTTTCCATAGTCTTCCCTTTGCTGCCGATAGACTTGAAGAAGCCATTCACGTTGCTCTTCACATCCCTTGCCAGATTCAACTCCAGGCTGCCTTCAGCTTTGCTAACCCCTTCACTGAACTTTCAGAGAATGGCTTTGTATTTCTCCCAAGTCATCTGTCCCTGCTTCCACCTCTTGCATGCTTCCCTTCTATGTTTGAGTTTTGTCAGGAGCTCCTTGGTCATCCATGCAGCCTCCTGCCACCTTTACTTGCCTTCCTGCACATCAGGATGGACCATTCTTCAGTCTGGAAGAGGTGATCCTTAAAAAACAGCCAACTCTCCTGGACCGTTCCTCTCTCCCCCAGACCATATCCCACAGCATTCTTCCAGACAGGTCAAAATCTGCTCCTCTGATGTCCAGGGTTGTGATCCTGCTTTTTGCCTTGTTTCCTCCTCACAGGATCCTGAACTCCATCACCTCACGGTCACTGCAGCCAAGACTGCTCCTGATTTTCACAACTCCAAGCAGTTCTTCACTGTTTGTAAGTGGTGTGGGTTAACCCCAGTAGGTGGGTAAGCACCACACAGCTACTCGATCACTCCCCCCTCAACCCCAGTGGGACAGGGGAAGAGAAAAGGAAGAGTAAAAGCAAGAAAGCTTGTGGGTCGAGATGCAAATTGTTTAACAAGCAAAAAAGAAGTGGAAGAAAAGAGAAAGAAAACAAAACAAGTGATGCAAAGGCAATCACTTACCACTTCCTACAGGCAGGCCAATACCTAGTCAGTTCCCAAGCAAAAGATGGCTAACCTCCCTAAACCTACTCCTCTCCCTTGTTATTGCTGAACATGAGGTTATATGGCATGGAATAGCTCTTTGGTTAGTTTGGGTCATCTGCCTGGTTCTGTCTCCTCCCAGTCTATTTGGGGGGGGTGAGGGGGAAAGGCAGAGTAAGAAACAGAGAAGGCCTTGACTCTCTACAAACACTGTTCAGCAATAGCTAAAACATTAGTGTATTATCAGCATTGTTTTGGTCACAAATCTAAAACGCAGCACCATATGAGCTGCTATGAAGAAAGTTAACTCCATCCCAGCCAGACCCAGTACAGGAACTATCAGATCCAGCTGAGCACCTGTTGTTGTCAGCTCCCCAATGGCCTGTGCCAGGAAGCCATCATCGACGCATTGCAGAAACCTCCTGGATTGCTTGCACCCTGCTGTGTCACCCCTCTAGCAGATACCAGGGTGGTTCAAGTCTGCCAGGAGGACCTGGCCCTGCGAATGTGAGGCTTCTTCCCATTGTCCAAAGAAGGCCTCATCTATTTCTTCCTGATCAGGCAGCCTGTAGCAGACACCTACTCCAATGTCACCCATGTTGGTCTGCCCTTTAACTCACCCATGAGCTCTCAGCTGGCTCATCACCTGTCCCCAGGCAGAGCTCCAGGCATTCCAGCCACTCTCTCACATAAAGGGCAACTCCCACTCTCACCCATGAGCTCTCAGCTGGCTCATCACCTGTCCCCAGGCAGAGCTCCAGGCATTCCAGCCACTCTCTCACATAAAGGGCAACTCCCACTCCTTGCCAGCTCCTCTTGAAGAGCCTGTATCCATCCACAGCAGCACCCCAGTCCTGCAATTTCTCAAAATATCCAAGCAAAGCAAGTCTGTTTGGAAACTTCTTTGGAATCTTCTGGAACCACTTTCGTTCCAGAGAATCAATAACAAATGAAATAATGAAAAAAAAAAATGAAGCCTTTAAGAAGGTAGTTTTTGAGCATGTAAAACAACTCTTTTCAGATATCAGAGATTGCTGTGAGAAAATTCTTACCAGTTAGATATCTCCAACATTCACTGAGTTATAAAAAAAAAATAAAGACTGCAGGAAAATAAATTATAAAAAGCTGAGGAGAATCAGGGTTCCATGACTAACAAGTCTGTTAAGCCTTGAAGCAGTAGTACAGTGGAAACACTCACCCTGGAGAGGCAACTGCATATTGAAGTTAAATGAGAAGCACACCACATGGTTATCCAGCCCATTATCAAAGTAAGGCAACTGCCTGCCATTCTAGCTTTCTTACTCTATTACATAAATCCATGAGGCAACTTATGACCTATTTATACAAGCGCATTGTTTTGCGTGACTTGCTGAAGCAAGAGCAAAGGCCTTCATCTGTCTCAGGTTCAGCAACACCTCCAGCCATGATGCCTTCTCAATACTAACACAGACACTAAATTGCCACAACTGACAATATTCTTACAATATTTTCTCTCTCCCTTGTCTCAGCTTCTTACCTTCTAATCTCCTTGCGTACAAAAGCTGGACCAAGAAAGATATCAGGTTTTGAGATAAAGCAGTGTTAAAAGTTGTAAATCTTGAATTAATCTGCATGGCCAGGGGAAGAGCCTTTCTGATCTCAATTAGACAAGAATTCCAGAGAAGTGATTCTATCACCTTAAACCTTCTCCTGAGTCGTTCTACTTGCTGTAGCCCTGTCTTCAATTCTATGCCAGCCCTTTCTAAAAGCACCCACAAACACATACCTGTAAGTATACACTCATACTTCCAATGTGATGTTAATATTTGTTTTCTGAATGCAGGAGACTTACCTTGAATACACTCCTTTCCACTATTTATTTCCACACTTATTCTTAGCACATCTAAGCCCTTCTAGAACAAACTAGCTAATAAATGAGAACAGAGAAGCACCCTGAAGTGCTCTCCACATCGTGGTATACATCAAGCAGGCAAAAGTAGACCCGACTCCTCTTCAGAGGGCTTTAATGAAGGTCTTACATGTTGCTCCACCTACCACTGAACCAGGTGAAGCTAGAGATTCCTCTCAGGTCTGTTGATATACCAACTTATGTGGCCGTACCATAGTTCACTACTTATCAAAGTTGTTGGGTTAGAAACACAAGTATTTAGAGGTATTTAATTACTCAAACCATTTAATAAACCTGAGTCTGAGAGCAATCACAGATAACAGTGTGGGGTTTGGGCAAATGCTAACCTCCAGTTAATGAGGCAGGGCAGTAATCTGTAGCTGGTGGCAACAGACTTCATTTAGCTGCTGCTGGAACAGCCTGTCTGACTGCAGTTGTAGTGCAGCATTTGTCCTGCCTTCTAGCCTTCAGACAGTTAACTGCGGTGATGCCTCATTTCAGTTGCAGCTTTGCTAGGTCAAGGGACCCCTCCACCCCCTTGACCATAAAAATCCTCTGAAAGCTGCTGCCCTCAATTCTGCTGGCCCAGTCTTTCGAACAGTCACTCTCTATTTCAGTCTGGGCA